CTTTGAAAACCAATAAATATTTAACAGCTGCGGCATCAGTATCATAAATCCATATGATCACTTACTGAACTTCTACTGCACTTTTCCCTACAAGATTGAACATAAAGATTAAAAAATGTCCACTCAGCAATGATTTTCAAAATAAAACAATTTTAATTTATCTACAAACACCTCTTGAATAGCATACATGCAAAAAGCAATAAAAAGTTGAGTAAACTTTAAAAGACATTTCTAAGATTTCACTAACATGGTACAAAAGTTCTGAGAACTTTTTCATTATCTTCATATATTATTATATATTGGTTTAGAGTAAGTATTTGCTTCCAACTTCTTTAGAAATGTAGATTTATAGTTATAAATAGATATGTAGTATACAATATATTTATTCAGGTTCACATGGTATAGCTGAGTACAAATAATGAGAGGGGGGTCCTATTCCCAAGTGATTAGCTTTATCTCATCTTAAAATCATGATGAAATCTGAAGATAAAGAGAGTTCATTGCAAGCAGCTTGAAAGACTGAATGGGTTCAGTGTCAGGTTACAAATCTTTTATGCAGAACATGCATAGCATTCACAAACAAAGACAGACACCATAACGGCCATCAATCCATAAACCCAGAAGCCAGACAAGATCATGAGAATATAAGAGGATAAAATAAGGATGGGCAGAGTTAATAGCTTTCTTTAATTTTTTAAATGACAAACCCAATGAGAAATGCATTGCTGCAAGGTTGCTTAGTGTCGCTGATCTGTTGAATGCAGGCCACTAGTAAATTTATAAGGTTTTACAGAGGCTATGAACCAGGTGACTAGAGGATAAATCTTATTTCATAAGTCTACATAACATGAAGTGTTTTCATTTAGTGGTTAATAAAAGGTAAAAAGAATCAGCAATATCACTGGCCTTGACCTGGTATCTCAGCTTCAGTTCCTTTCCCACTGCCATAATGTAGCTTCCCTGTGACTTTTCTATAAATAATTTCATGGTAATTGTTCCGATAATCTTTCCTCTATGGTACCTAGATGTTATGAATCGAAGTGCGGTACTAGATGTTATGAATTGAAGTGCGGTACTAGGTGTTATGAATTGAAGTGCGGTACTAGGTGTTATGAATCGAAGTCTTGAGTACTAGGTGTTATGAATCGAAGTCTTGACTAGGTGTTATGAATCGAAGTCTTGGTACTAGGTGTTATGAATCGAAGTGCGGTACTAGGTGTTATGAATCGAAGTGCGGTACTAGGTGTTATGAATCGAAGTGCGGTACTAGGTGTTATGAATCAAAGTGCGGTACTAGGTGTTATGAATCAAAGTGCGGTACTAGGTGTTATGAATCAAAGTGCGGTACTAGGTGTTATGAATCAAAGTGCGGTACTAGGTGTTATGAATCAAAGTGCGGTACTAGGTGTTATGAATCAAAGTGCGGTACTAGACTGGTGGCAACGTTTCATCAATTCAGTTGAATTGGCTACATGTAACCATAAGTTCTATGCAAACAATTTTTTTTGCACGTTTTGTATGTGGAACTCTCTTTCTGGCTTTAATTTTTCCCACCAACATTCTTCTTGATTACTATTGTATTGTTTTTGCTCCTTAATAATGTTTCTCTTTTTTTCTTATAATTTCACCCTCAGTAACCATTTGTGTTTTAGTGGCTTTCCTGCTTTTCATGGGGTGATATGATTAAAAAAGAAAAAAAAAAGAAAACAATATTTGTCACAAATGATCAGTTGCTAGATGAAGGGACTAGATTTAATGCAAACTTTCTTATTAAAAAAAAGAAGAAAAAATGATAAATATAATAAAAGTAAAGTTTGGAAAAATCAATAAAATATGTTAATATATTGTATATATTTTGTGCTGAGCCAGTTTTATACAGTATATGTTTAATTATTAGCATTAAAAAACAAAATATTTTTTAAAAGAGAAAAAAAAAGAAAGTTAATATTCAAAGAAACAAATATTTTATAATTAATTCCACTTGTGGGTTCCAAGACAATTTTGATCAAATTGTTATAAATTTTGTTACAAGAGTACTTTTGAAATATCACCAATAAGTTTATTTTTAACTTCAAAATATAAAAATTGCTGAATCATTTTCTCTTAATCTACACATTATGTTACAAACAGGTGAATATCTAAAAACTCTTAATGACACTCCATTGACACTTGTACAGAAAATGTTTATTTCTATTTAGATTAATACTAATTAATTCTGAGGCTAAAATATACTTTTAAAAGAAAAATTATAAATTATATCATAGCATATATCTGTACATTTTAACTTTATATTTGTAACTGTATTTTCACTGTGATAGTGGTGCATTGTTATAAAAAGAGATAATGGATTATTTACATTGTTTACAGCTATACTAATATCTTCATCTTTGTTGTTACTATCACAGGCTAGAGGATTAATACATTGGCTCATGAATTTGGTGATATAGTAATTCTGAGTTTAATTTCTGTGCTGGGTAGCACAGGCTCAGTGGAAACAGGAATGGTAATAACTGAGTAGTACTAAATAGGAACAAGGTAAGTAATTCTTAGACATGGACAATGGATTAAGAAGCATCTACTCCTGTAGATTAAATAAAGGGTTTAATTTAAAATTCTCTGAAGGTACCAAGATTGATAGACACCTGAAGAAAGCTTGAGAGCACAATGACTAGAATATTGTGATGATAACAACAACAACAACAAGGACATTAGTCTGACTTTCAATAATGTAATCAATGATAACTCTTCATTCTAGGAATTCAGACAGAGATAATAGAGTGATTTTCATGAACTGTATTGCTTTAACCATCAGGCTCAGGGATAAATTCTCACCTCTAAAGAAATTATGATTGCTATCCAATTTAAGATCAGATGAAATCTTTAAAAAAAAAATTAGAATTAGAAAATACAAATATTTTCATGGTAACTGCTCCGATGAGCTACTTTTGACTGCCGAAATGGTTAAATGTGGCCATCTCTTCTACTCCAACAGCTTCATGTCTCATACCTCCTGTCTGTGGAAGTCTGTTCCTATTACTGGTTTCCCTGATAGCTATAATCTCCAACTATTCAAATGTAATGTCAATCGACATCTCCAGATTCCATGTCCTTCTCTTCATCCTTTCCTATATCATGCCTCTTTACTCTCACTCACACTCTCTGTAACCCCTTGCATACTAGTGGCATCCTGCCTTGCTTGGGGCGAAATGCTTAAAAAGATAAAAAAAAATAAAAAAAAATTCTATTTTTATTATAAAAATGCTTTTCCCCATATGTAAAAACCAAGGGAGAAAAATTGACAAAATTTTTTTATATGAAACAGGATGAAAGTAACTTAAAAAATTTGACAAACCAGAATTGCACAAAATTTTGATAACTCCTTAACTGCGGATGGTATGACTTTTTGTCATTGCAATTCTATGGCTCATCTAGAAATTTCTGCTACATTTAATTGGCTAATATTTCCATGTTCATTCATAGCATCATTATTATTAGTGTCCTGATGATGATGCAAATAAACATTGATATATTAAAATAAACTGTAATTAGTGATTACTTTGTAAAATTTTCATTACTTAAAAAACATTTTTCTACAATTCAACACATCTGGCATATAGAGCTACAAGCTTGGAAATTTGTTTTTATCTTGTTAAAATTCCACTTTTTCAGCTACCTTATAGGTATGAAAAAGGTCTAGTTTGTTTGCCATTGTAGCATTAACATTTTGGTAAAAACATAATATTCGTTATTTTGTCATATATATTTTGGGATGAAGCATAACTTGGTAATTTTACTGAAAACTTGATATTGGCAAGTTTGTCTTTGTGTTTCTATATAACTTATATAAAAAAAAAAAAAATCAGCAATGTGTTTCAACATCTACATGGAAGATGAACAACATTATAATTATCACTGTCTACAAAGCAAGTAAGGCCCATTGTTAGACTAAATTGTCAAACAGGTGAACAAAACAATAGCAATTATACCAAAATGTAGATCTAAGAAGGATTATTCTGAAAATAACCTAACAAGGAAGCTTTTGAATAATTTGCAGGACTGAAACCTAACAGAGAAAACATGCTATAAGAGGATCTTTATTAAAAAAATAAAACATACATCATGGATAAAAAGAAATAGATTAAGTGGGTCATAAAAGATTATTATTGAGTATTGGCATGGAAACTGAGTTACCTAAGTAAATGTGTGTACACAAACATGGTTGGTGTGAATCAACAGGTAAAATGGATAGCGTAGGAAATAATTATAACTATATATGCAACAGGTGGGCAAGCTCTAATATATTGTTAAATGTAAGGAAGATATAAAGATATTACAAAAAACAAAAACACTCTTGTAAGATATTCAACTTTATAAAATATGTCTATAACAAGTAAAGAAATTTGCCTTTTAAATAGCAAGTAAGATAATATATTCTTGTCTACATTCCTCTTGGCTAAAACTTATATTTACAAAATCGATATGCAGTGAGAAGATTTTAGTACATTCTGCAAAGATTACTAATAGACAAGGAAATATTTCTAAATATTTGACAAAACAAAGTGGGTTTCTAATTATTTACCTAGAATCAGAATGTAATATCTGCCAACTCTCTGGCTCATAGGAGTTGGAATCAATTATGTTTTCTGATTGAGAAACCTATATAATTATATTATGTAGGAAGGAATTTGGGGAAAATTGAGGGAGGGGAGAATGAAGCTGGGGAGAGGATGTTAAAGAAGAAAGGTAGGGAAACTAGTTAGATAGGTCGGTGGATTTATTTTTTGCAGGTTATTTAAATCCAGAAAATTGTTAAAATTTTTTGTTTGTGATGGTTTAGTGATATAAGTTTTACTGATTGACCCATAGTTAGGGGGTGGTGAAAGTGGTGAATTCATATCTTTCCCAAGGGTATTTGCATGTAAGTGAATATAAATCTAACAGGATTTAGAATTTGACTCTCTGATTAACAATTCTGAGCCATTATCCATTACACCACCTGCACAGCACCAGGTATTCTCAAGCAGTCACCTATACAGGTACTGGCCAACCTCACCATTGTTTAACTTTGGTGATCATATGAGAACTCGTGTTTCAACCTAATATGGTCAATAGCCAAAGGGACGATAGATGAGAAGATAATGCTCTCATGTGTTTATGGTCTGCTTCCCTGAAATAGAAAAACCTTATCAATTTTTCAATTTTCACCTGTACCTTTTTCTTTAAATAAAGGATTGTGTTCATATTTCTGATTGTTATTGTAATAATTTGATAAAGTTGTTGTGATGTGGCCATAGTTAGATAGCTGAAAAGAATAAGTGTATATATTACTAATCAGTTACGTGCCATGCAGGATACATGCTTAGGTGATCATGTATATTTTGATGGATTTTAGTAGCACCTTCGTCTCTCTCTGGGTTTCCTAAGTGCTCTGCTTATATTGACTTTGAACCAAGACTGGAGCGGGGCTGATGATATTTGTAGATCTGGTGATTCCACAAGTTTCTGTATCAATTTGAACAAGAGTTCTTTTTTGTCTGGTTTTCAATATTAGCTTTCAAATTTAGGAGAACCATTCATTCTACTAGTGATAGTTGGAGGTATTGTCCCGCCCTTATCCGTGTGATGTAGAAAATATGTACAAAAGAGCTCAAAATGTAATGTAATGAAATAAAAAAAAAAAATCCTTCACCAAACCAAAATACAATTATGACCTAAAGAAAAAGTGCCATGAGTTCATGTTCATATGGATCATGTGCATATTAAAGGCATGAGACTATTTTTAATTTAGGTTGACTCATTCTCTGGATGGCCTGAAGTGGTTAGAGTTCAGGATAGGAAGGCAGCTGCAGTAAACCAAATACAAGGTAACCAAAAAAGTTCTGTCCGTTTTTTGATTAGTCATTGAATGAAGTTGAAATATATATGAAATGCGTGTAGCAATTGTTTTCAAATTCGGACAGCTGGAAGTAGGAACATCAGACGTTATAAAAAACATGCGCACCGTGCCCAGCCATCAGTTATAAGCCAGACAGCTGTGAGAAGGATGGAAGTGTCTAGAGATCTAGTTTGGGGCTGTTTGCTTTACAACTTCAAAGTGGGCTTATCAGCAGCTGCATCAAGTTGCCGTGTATGTCAAGCATTTGGGGATAGTGCTGTGGATGAACATAGTGCAAGGCGTTGGTTTTGAAAATTCAAGTTGGGAGATTTGTCTCTCCATGATGAGCCTCGCAGTGGACAACCACAGGTCTTGAATGACAGAGTCCTGAAGGCGGCCACTGAAGAGGACAGTAATCTAACGTGTGGTGAACTTGCAAGACAGTTCAACATTTTCGATGAAACAGTTAGACTTCACCTGCACAAGGTAAGACATAGAAACTGAGCAAGTGGGTTCCGCAAATGCTGTTGGAGGTCCACAAGGGACAACGAGTGGCAACCTGCGTATCGCTGCTTTCTCGCCACCGTACCGCATCCTTATTCAATCAAGTGCTTACCAATGATGAAAAGTGGGTTCTGTACAAAACTCCCAAGCGTTGCAGACATTGGTCGTATTCCTCAGGATGCTGTCCCTCACACCACAAGACTGCCTATGCACCCATGCAAGATTATGCTTTGTGTCTGGTGGACAGGTTGTCAAGTGTTTCATTATGAACTGCTACCAATGGGCCAAACGGTCACTGGAGACCTATACTCACAGCAATTGAAACATGTGCAACAGGCATTGCACCAGAAGGAGCCAGCACTGGTGAATCGCAAAGGTGTGCTTTTCCTCCATGACAACGCCAGGCCGCATGTCGTGTGAGTGGCCAGGGATACCATACAGCATCTTGGGTGGGAGACTTTGTGCCATCCACCTTATTCCCCTGACCTTGTGCCATCAGATTACCGCCTCTTCCACTCCCTGGATAATCATCTTCGTGGGAAATCCTTCACCAATGAAGCAGACTTGCACAAAGCCCTCATGGACTTCTTTGCATAAACCCCCACACCCACGAGTTCTACTGCAAGGGCATTGAACAGCTGGAGACACGTTGGCAGAAGGGGCTGGATGCCGATGGCAATTACTTCGAAGACTAAATATAAGTTACACATACTGTAAAGCGTTTTCTTTTTTTTCCTTTAAAAATGAACAGAACTTTTTTGGTTACCTTGTATTACAAGTAATATTTTTGAGAAAAGGGGTGACAAAAACATCAGTATCAGAATTCTGTGATGAAACTGTGTTAATGGTTAAAACAAATTGGATGCCTCCTTTATAAAACACCACCATACCATCCACAATCAAATGGAATTGTAGAAAGAATGGTGCAGAGGTGAAAATGGTGTTGAAGGCATTTTCCCTATTTAGTGACACCATAGATAGTTATCTATGGAGACTATTACTGAGTTATAGAACTATTCCATGTGCTGGTAGAATGCAAAGTCCCTCTGCATTGACGGGAAGACAAATTAAATTGTCCTATTCAATAAAGGGGAAAATGTGGTACAAAAAAAAAAAAAAAAGAGTCAAGTCCTGAAAAAGCTAATTTTATTACACGAAAGGGATATAATAGCAACAAGTGGATAAAATTTATTGTCTCATTCTGATCAAATAAGACCTAGACGTGACAACAAAGAAGAAGGAAAAGAGGAGGAACCTGAAAGGAAGGAAAACATGAGTGCTTCTGATGGCAAAAGCAAACATAGTAGTAAAGAAACTATGGTGGATAGTTTGCATAAATCTGACATGGAGTTGGAAGATCAGAATGAAGAGGAGTCGAGACTTAGATATCCAATAAAAAGAACCAGGTACACATCTCAAGATCTCATACTTTTGTTTGAAGAAGTCACAGATCAATGAAGGGCATAAAAACACTTTGTTTCTGGGGTAGTGTAGTGACATAGGCAAAATGGACATGCCCTATTTTCAGCAACTACTAAGTCAGTTATCACCCAGTATGTGGGGGAACTTCTACATGACAGACTAGAAGACATCACAACAGAAATAAATATTACATATCTTATCTGTTTTATGTTATACATAAATGTTAATCATTGTGAAGATTATAAATGTATTGCAGGTTATTTAAAGCCAGAAAATATTTTTACCTGTAAGATATTTTTTTTGTTGAGATAATAATGGTATAGTGATAGAAGTTTTACTAATTAACTCTTAGCTGGGGTAGAAGTGGATTCATACCTTTTCCAAGGGTATTTGTGCATAAATGAATATAACAAATCCAACAAAAATTGGAACTTGGCTCTCCGATTAACAAGTCTGAGCCATTATGCATTACACTACATGCACGTTCAAGCTTATAGCACCTGGTATTCCCAAGCGGTCACCCATCTAGGTAATGACCAGGCTTAATGTTGCTTAACTTTGGTGATTGTACGGGAATCAAGGTGTCTACATGATGTGGCCATAAGCTCTCATTAATAGAGTACCAGAAACTAAAACAAGGATTTTATAGTCTACAATTCAATGCTTTAAAAGTACATATGGGTAAAATAGTGATTAGGATGCTGATCTTGATAGACATTGGGGGTGTGGTGGACCCTTGCTGTATGTGCCTAGTTTTGTGCTCAAATTAGCCTAATCCAATAAAAAACTTATACACTAACATTTATACATATCAGATTTAATGAAAGTGCAAATGTAAAAAATATCAGAAGATAAAATCAATTTACAGACTACTTTTTATGTGAGAAACCTTAGGATTAAAGAAAAAGCCAAATATATTGTAGATTATTATATTAACAAACTTCACCAAACTAGCATTAAGGACTGAAGCAAACAATGGTACATTGCACTAAACCAACTTGTAAAAAAAAAAAAATTGTAAACATTACTTAAACTAAGTCACAGTAGTTAAAGAGTTTTCTACAATTTGAAAAATTCTAGAGAAGGTAACCTGAGAGTTCTACTTATCTAAAGAACCTAAAGAGTGTAAAGCAAAACTGACACAATAACTGACTAACTGGGAAGCAGAATTACATGTGTATATATGAAGAGAGACATAAGTTAATATACTCTTTTACTTAAAACCTTTGACCCATTTTGAGCACAAAGAATAAAGAATGTTCATTTTAGAATAGAGAGGCTATTTAAAAATATATTAGGAAAGTAAATATTTATGAAAGTTGTTGAAAAGATTTGGCATTTTCAAAAAGTGAGTAGGTAGTAGAGAGAGAGAGAGAGAGATTTCAACAAGAATAATGGGGTTTTATTGATACTTTTTTTTAAGCAGAAATGATCATATTGAGTCAGTTCATTATGATTTACAATTCATTGCTTTTTTTTTCTGGCATACTTCAGGGCCATATATCCTTAAGTATTATTTCATCTTAATAATTTGGAAGGAAATAGGAAATTTAAGTGTTTTGGTAAAATGAGCATTAGCTGTAAAAAGGTGTAATTGACAAACAAGTTTAAAATAGGGTTGAGGTTCTTTGTGTACATTTTGTAAGTTATGTCCTTGGGGGAAAAAAATGAATTCATTTGTGCCAATAGGTCAATTTCAGGGATTTTCTTCCCACCTGCTAGTACCCCCCAATCCAGTACAACCTGTTTCAAATTACTTGAAATAGTCAAGAAAAGAAAAGAAAAAAAAAAACAAAAAAAAAAAAAAACAACAACACAGCTTAGTACCACATATCATGGGGTACTTTGAATTTTGAAATTTTTGTTTTTCATTTCACTCCAAGCAATCCACTAAGATGCAAAGGGTTACTGAGGATGAAAGACAACAGAATGGAGGAAACTGAGGAAATGTTACTGAGACAATAAAAAGAAGAGGATTCAAGAAAACAAGAGATGACAATTGATGTGGCATTTAAATTTTTATAGATTGGACTTGACAGAAAAGCAAGTAGCTGGAAGAGAGTTCCATAGGCAAGCAGTGTAAAAGAAGAAACTATTAGAATAGAACTTGAAGTTACATCTAGCAATGTCAACAGTAAAATGGTGAGACCTAGCTGCCAATTTAGTACTCTACTTAAGTTCATGAAGTTGAGATACCAAAGAGGAAAGCTCATTAGAATAAATGCTATGAAAACATTTATCAAGGTCCAAGGAAGCTATGTTATGTCAGTGAGAAAGTGATTGAAGCTGATATGTCAGAGCCAATAATATTGTAGATTCTTTGGCGTTTGTCCAGAATCTCAAGATACATAGCAGACTAGATGTGGCAACAATATTAAATGCATGGATGAACAGTACACTTATAAAAGTGCAAGACAGATTTGGGTGAAAAGAATTGTCTAGCACAGCAGTGAACCAAATTTCTTAGCCTGCAGACTTAGCAATTGACTTGATATAATCATTGCAATTCATATCAGTGGAAAATGTTAAACCTAGAAGGCACAATGAGTTACTCGCCTGGAAGTTAGCATCGGTCAGGTTGACAGAAAGCAAAAAAGGTTAAAGAATGAGAACTTTAATTCTTGGGTATTCATTGAAGAGGTTTTGTATTTATCAGATTTGAAGTGTAGAAGAGTAGGAATGGAAATTTAGAAAATTACAAGTTGTCTAAAAGGAAAAAGTACATTGAATCTCTTCTATTTCGAATTGATTTGTCTATTTAAAATATTAGCTTTCAATCTCAAATAGACATTATATATACTTATATTATATGCTTTTTGACCACTTCTAAGAGCATATTCATAAACTATTTTCTAGAATTTTGATACACTGACTTTTATAAGGAGTGTTAAAGAAATTAGATTCTTTTTATATTAAAATTAATGATTAAAATTATGTCAGGTCTCTCTACAAGTGCCATTGGTACCATGTAATACAGCACTACCTGTTGCATAGTCACCTAGCACAAAAGGATAGCTCCAGGGCTATATATGCAGTCAGTGCAGCATCTTTTGATCCATTTAATTAATTTAAAGCATCATTGGTTAGAGGGCTTCTTAGATTAAAGTCGAGAAGTTAACAGCAAGAATCACCTGATGGAATATATGGTAATGTGTCCATGATCAAGGAGAGCATTCAAGTCAGAGAACATCAGCTGTAATTTGAACTGGAGAGGGATGGGCTCTCTCAAGTCTACTTGCTCACAACATGCTGTGCATGAATGAATACATCTCTGGCTTTCAATCCAGATATATGTAGGAAAGTGAACAGATGCTATGAGGGACTGATGATGATGATGATGTATGAATTGTTGGTTTGAAAAAAAAAAGTTTTTGTATTTAATGAATCTGCGTATTAAACAAATGTCTTCTTTCTCATAAGTTCCCAAGAAGTCAATACATTTAGAAATACAATTAGAATCTAATATTCATTAATGATGAATCCTTCTCAGCCTTGATTCTTAATATTTAGGGTAAACATTACTAGAAATCAGCAATCTTTTTACCAACCAAAAAACATTTGTGTAATTTTCTTCTTGATAACAAAGAATACTAAAGTTTAAATTTAATCACTTGTTTATCCATCCAATCTTGGTTATTGGAAAAAAAAAAAAAAAAAAAAAAAAAAGAAGACATTTTTGTTTTTCATAAATGAGCTTCCTCTTTTTTTCAATTGGAAATGTAAAGAATTTCGTTACTTACAGATACAACAATTTCAGCAAGTGATTGCCTGCACCTTTCTTTTACTATGAACAAAAATATTTGATGACACTTCTGAGATATTTAACTTAATTTGCTTATATATATATATAATTCCAATGATGTCTTTTGAAAAATACTAATGCACATGTTAGTGGAAAGGAGCAACAGTAAAACAAACATTAATCTATATTGATTCAAGAGTAGGTTGAAATATTGAAAAACTAGTTTCCAAGCACATGTCGTCTGTTGTGTTATCTGATGTGGTTATCAACTTTTAAAAGACAGAAAAAAAAAAATGGAACAAAATATTAAAATTTCATATAGCGGATAGGATGACTGCAAGAACAATGAGCATTAAAAAAAAAATTAAAAAAAATAGAAACAGTAGTGAGATCATTAGAAAGTGATGCAGAAATAGTAGATCCAAAGCGTATTACAATGTTGGTCTGGCAAAAATCCTGGTGATAAAAGCATCATATGGGTACTATAAAGTTACTATATTTTCATGGGTAAAATACGCCCCCATGTTTCTGAAGCTAAAAACAGGAAATGAATTACATCCTTCAATATAATACAGCCATGTGTTTCTGAAGCTGAAAACGAGGAATAAATTACATCCTTGAGCATAATGCGACCTCATTGTACAGCCATCACTATGTAAACTTTTTTTTTTTGAAAAGTTGTAACATATTAACCATTAAAATCTCAATGCCATACATATATATCATTAAAATATTTAATTTTTCATGATATGAAATAATAGAAATGATCTGAATGTCACTGCCTGTTTCTTCTAGTTTCTGTTTCAAAACTAATTCTCATATTTCCAGGGAAAGGTGCAAATTAGACATACCTGGTAATACACATTAAGCTGTTAATTAATCTATCATACTTTTCTATTTGATATGTCTTTATTATATTTCTATATATTAATAAACTATGAAAATAAAAAAAAAATACAGTCTTTCATTAAGAATAAACAGAGAAACAAATATTGCTGAGATATCAAATACCTTTGTAAAGAATTATCATCAACACCTGCCTACTTTGCATTTTATCATCTATTGTTCTGAGTGTATTTACAATGTTCCTGTTTCAAATAAGGTTTTTTTTCTGAAAACATGTACTTGTGTATTATACCTTTTTTGACTTTAAATTCAAAATTTCTCGTATCATGTGCAAGAAAATATGGTACTGCTGCCTAGTGTTTTCGTTCTTCATCTATTCCGCAGATATAAATTGTGTTTATAAAATTATAAAGTTTGTGACATACCCAAGTGTAATGAAAATAAACAGCTGACAGATCTTTGTACCTGAAGTGTTTCTTTGTCTGCTGAGCCTAAATGTCTACTGAAGATAGAGAATGAGGAAATGACAAAATGGAAGACTGGTGCTTACATGATGAGAGTAACTACATAGACACGATTAAGAAGAATGATGTCAGTATGTCACCAGAGTAAAAGGTGCTGATGCATGAGAAAAGTGGAGACAAAAAGAGGAGAAGAAAAACTCCAACAAAAATTCTTAACCATTCACAAAATTCCATCAATTGTTTGTCATTTGTTGAATTCTTGTAAGCATCTGATGTCACTGTTAGCAATGAGATTTGCCCTGGTACACCATAAGAGTTGGTACATTCTTATATGACAGCTACAAAAGAAGTCAATTAATTTACGTACAAATGACAATCATTTATCCCTTCTAGTAAGAATAAAACTACAAAAGCTTAATTTTGTATCAAGTTGAGGATACATTAACATTTATGTTGACTATGTAGACTAAATAAATATTTTTGTCTACAAGTGAAATATATAAGAGAAAACTATCATAAACAGGGTAATAAAAAAAGAAGTAATTTTCCA